CCTGTACTTGGCAGTTATATTTAATACTGTACATATATAAGTTTAGTTAATCCGTTTGTGTAAGATTTTTAATTTTTATTTCACTATTATTGTATATATTATCAGTGTTTGCCTGTTATTGGCTTCTTGCTGTTGGCAAACACGTAAATAAATTAATTGAATTGAATTAATTGAATTGAATTGAATTGAATATGTCTTAACAAAATTTCTGACATTCATCGTGATCAAATTTCTTAGTTACTTTAATCGAATTTGTTGTAACATTTGCACAAATATATTGGCCTACGGTTAAATAATCATTTTAAATAACTACTAAGTTACTTTTTACTGAATAAGACAGGCCAAGGAGAAAAAATTATGTTTATTTCTTCAGTAGAACACAAGCGAGGCGTTTAGGAAATCACTCAGAGAGATTTTGAGTGTCCTCGTAATATCGTATTACCTTACACATCAATGAATTTCATAAATTTCATTGGAAAATAAGTAACATTTCCCGATCATACATCTGATCTTGGAATTTATAAATAGACCCTAAGGACTACATCTATTATTGATCAAGTTTAGTAAATAAATAATAGTTAATGATGACTTAAATAAACCACGAAATACGAGGTTATCGAACTTGGAGTTGGAGTGACACTAGAAATATTAAAACAAAGTATATACTGCTCAATAAGCTAGAATATTTGATGAAGCGTACCATATCATTTGCTTTGTATCTGTGATTGGTTGGTTTGTATGTAAAATACAACAATTCCTCGAGGCCAGTAGTTAAAATGCGATTTGTCTTCCGAAGAAAGAAACAAGAATGAACTGTTTAATGGAATAAATTAGAAGGAGAGAGGTCGCGCTAATGAGTCGACGCCAGTCGCACGCGAAACAGTCGCCTGACTGATACATGCTCTAAGTGGACAGTGATAAATTTGCTTCCGTGTCGTACACATAATCACTCACAGCCGATTCTGGGCGTCTCTCGGCCCACAAATTACTGATACATGTTTTGACCGATGGTCTCTTCGTGGAAAGAAAACAGTAGCTAATTTATCACATCTTAGCTTCATTAAAATGTAACTTATCTCTCGCTCTCGGAAAATTAATTTTTATAATGTAAAGGCTCTTAGGCTGCCTCGTTACGGTGAATGTGATTTGTCACATTTTGCTTAGTTAATTATCGTCATAATGGGCGTCTGATGTAGTGTAATTATTAACTATTCTGTTTAAATAGGATTAGCGACTTATTGCAAGGGCTCGCGAAGGAAAGTTGTACATTATTCATACATTATTCGTACAGTAGGATGGTGCACTGCTCTGCAATGAGTAGAAGGCCCAGACTCCCAGCACTAAATCACCAGTTTCAAAGATGACGCGGTCTACATTCTGTTGCATAATACTAACTAACTAGATGGCTGACAGAACCCGAAGGTTTATCACCGAATTAACCAAAGCCTTCCACCGGACCCAGTCTCCTTCAACTCCTATCTCCCATAGATCCCGCCTGAGATTATCCTCCCATCTACGTCTAGGTCTCCCCAGAGTTCTCTTCCCCTCAGGCTTCCCAAATAGTGGACCCAACCAACCAGATGGCTGACAGAACCGGAATGTTCATCACCGAATTAACCAAAGCCCTCCACCGGATCCAGTCTCCTTCAACTCCTATCTCCCATAGATCCCGCCTGAGATTATCCTCCCATCTACGTCTAGGTCTCCCCAGAGTTCAGTACAGATTTTTAAGCTCGTCATTATGCAGTTTTCTCCACGCCCCATCGTCTTCTCTCCTAGGCCCAAATATCCTCCTCAACACCCGATTCTCAAACACCTGCAATGTGTGTTCCTCCCTCTGAGTGAGAGACCATGTTTCGCACCCATACAAAACAACAGGCAAAATTATTGTTTTGTACCCCTATATTATATTGGTTTATGAAAATTTTCATACTAAGATTAATTTAGAATATATATAATTTCATTTGTTTCTTTCGATGGTAGTTCGTAATTTACATTGATAAAAACCACAAATGGTTAAGATTTCAGTTCCTTATCGATTTTATCGATTACGACAGCTTCCGTTGCAACAGCCGAGGAAAACAAAAGACTCTCTCTACTTCACGTAGTTTACGAACAGATTAAAATACGTTCTACTGAGTTACTGTATCAAACATCACAATCAATATCATCAATACTGACTACGCTGCTGTCAGTGATAGGAAGGGACCAGTGATATATTATTACTGATTATTATTGTTAATAGCATTTCCATTACATTTTATGACCTAAGCAGATGGGATGATAATTATATAGGCATTTAATCACTTACTGTGTATTTAACTACGTTATAAGTTAACTCTGACTATACAGCGTCAAACAATAGGACGTCTAATGAATAATAAATACGACGTCATATGGAAACAAGCAGCCATGATCTGACTTATGTTCTTTCCTGGGGTTTCCTATAAGAAATGAGGAAAACAGTGACGAATATCAGTCAGGATTGTCTGTCTCCTAGCCGAGACTTAAACCCATGGTATCTAAAATTCGATGCAAGAATACTAACCACTCAGCCAAACCATTGGTGCCCAAATAATGATTACCATTTATTATTAATCAAGCTTAGAATTGTCTGTAATACATAGACCAATGCTCAAATAAATCAGTAAAACTAAGATTTTTGTCTCAAAAACGACGAATATATGTTTGAATTACGAAATTGTTAATACGTAACATCTTAAATCGATGTGAGTTATCCCGGTATTAATTAATCAGTGATAACATCAAAACAGCATTTCAGGAGAGTCCAAAATTCAAGGATAATAATTTCTAAAAGTTACTAGAACGGAAATCAGGCTATATTAGAGTAATCTGAGAGTCCAAAATTCAAGGATAATAATTTCCGAAGTTACTAGAACGGAAAGCAGGCTATATTAGAGTAATCTGGTCGTTAATATTAGCCCTTCTATCTTTGTTATGTTACAGTATGGGTCCTAGGTACAATGGTCCAATGGATTCAAAGTTGACCTGAACATTTTTTTTTTACGAAATGTCTGCACCAGAATGACGAAATATTTTTTTTTGAAGATGGTGGCAACACTTCTCTCGCTCCAACACAGATTATCTCTACCCTTCGAATTTCGCATTAGAAGTAGTACAAAATGGTGTCGGACTCTGTCACTCCAAAGAACAGCGTTGTATCGTAAGATTTCTGGTGAAAGAGGGCGTTGAACTGGCTGAAACTTACCGTAGGTCGGGAGCAAAATATGGGTAAGATACCTTAGCACTTGAAAAAGGGTGTGACTAGCGCAACAAATCTTCTGAAGGCCACGAACAGGTCGCTAACCTAACATATGGCCACGTGCAACAGACAGCTGTCACAGATGCGAACATCGTCGAGTTGAGGAGGTGGAAAATGCAGTCTGCATAAGTGTTAGGGGCGCAGATACTTGTTCAAGTGCGAGCACATGAATCAGATTTAACAGCAAGAAAACACATTTCTGAAGCGAATAATGACTTTTGACGAGACAGGGTACACTACTTCATACCAGAATCAAAGACGTCGTCCAATTTCTAACAGCGCAAAATATTCGTGGTGTCTTGAATTGGATACAAAGTCAACCTATTCCTTTCTTTGTTTCTGGCATCCAATGCCTTACAACGGCGGTGGAAAACGTGTGTTAAGGTACACATCGAAACTGAAAAGAATCAAAGTTTATGATTCTGATTTTTCCTTTACATTTCAAGAAATGCTCATGAATGCTTTGTTGCTGGGATTTTACATATAAGGAGATCGGGAAAACAACCCTGTCAAGATTAGAACCTACTTCTCCCGTATGCAAAAGTACAGCTGCCAGTTTCTTCCCAAATCATTGTTATTTTTGATAGTACATTTTCATATATTTCAGGCACCTCTCGGCTGCAGCATTTCAGACATTTCCACTCAACAGTTTTACCCGCTCAATCATTACTTTACTTTCAAATGTATCTACTGTAGTCTTTCTACATCTTACCAAATAATATATACCCTCTTATGAATATGAAATAATTTTATCACTCTCCAGAGTCTACCCCTGCACTTAATTCATTTGCCTTGCCACCTCTGTAAGCATCACGTGCATTTACAAAGTCTTCTCAATTTGGCAGGGGAAAACAGCAACTCCAACGACGGTCTGTCAGATGTCAGGTGCCAGCACCACGACAAGAGTTGCAGTGAGGACGAAGCCGCGAGCCCCGGAGTACCCACGAGCATGTCCACAGCCACCGGCGAGGGTGGCGGGGGCTCCAGTGCGAGCGACGCAAGTAAGAAAAAACACAGGCGGAACCGCACAACGTTCACGACATACCAACTGCACGAGCTGGAAAGAGCCTTCGAGAAGTCGCACTATCCAGACGTTTACAGCCGTGAGGAGCTCGCCATGAAGGTGAACCTGCCCGAGGTGCGCGTACAGGTAGGACTCGTCACGTGTATTGTAAGATATGTCACTGCAGGCAGGATTCGTCACGTACTGTAAGATATGTCACTTCAGGCAGGACTCGTCACGTGTACTGTGAGATATGTCACTTCAGGCAGGACTCGTCACGTGTACTGTGAGATATGTCACTTCAGGCAGGACTCGTCACGTGTACTGTAAGATATGTCACTGCAGGCAGGACTCGTCTTTTCAACAAACTTAGAGTTGCAAACAGTAAGACGTAATGCAAGAAGTGAAAGCAGTTTTAGAGTTACATACCATTTTCGGTAAATATACATACAAACAAGTCACAATTTTCACTGGATACTTCCGTATGTTTACAGTTGCATGTGTAATCTTAGAAGGAATTTTACAATTATAACTAACTCTTGTTACACTTATCAGCGAAGTTCTACTGTTCAGAAAGATAACCTAAGAGTGCAATTATTATGTGATCTACCCTTCAAACCGATGAATTCATTCATTATTTTGGTCCGCGATTTCGATTCCGTACAAAACATATTTATATTTCTTTTATTCAGTAAATTTTATCTTCTTGCCCGTTTCTCTCTTCAAGGTAAAAATACATTTGCTGATTGATACAGCGAAGTACTGAGCAGCGCAAGTTATTTAAACAGAAGCAAAGTCAACGCTGTAGTATTTTTAAATGTAATTTGCTGCTTTAGTAGTCACTGGATTAAATAGATTGCACAATACATTTTCTAAGTAATTAATCATTTTAATGATAGACATGAATCCTCTTAAAATTAAATATTAAATTAAAAGCTGCTTCCATTATTGCTCTGATGATGGAGGCAACAAGGACCTCTAAAACTCTGATAAACTTCTACCAGAATACACGGCGCTACAAGCTAGAAGACATCCATATAAGAACCTCAAATCATATTCTGAGAATGTTTTGGTAAATATAAATTTAACGAAATACTCAAGTACCCTCCAACAACCGAGAAAAGTCAGTTTAGTAACGTTTAGTGATTATTTTTGCCATAAGAGCGCAGTACAAGATTTTTAAAATAAATTGCGTTTTCAAATTTTTATCATTT